CCCTAAAAAGGGTTTGACCCCAAACAAATCCTAAACCCTAATACAAAAATAACATATTGCATATATAATTTTTAAAATGTGACATTTTTACAAAAAAATATTTTGAAAAATGACCTTTCAAAAATGATATTTCTCAAATGTTCATTTAAAAAAATCTATACAAAAATAGATATTTCATAGTTGAATGAAACATTAATATTTAAGTAACTAAAGAAAACCTAGCCACTCTTAAACATTTGAAATCATCAAACTGTTAGCTGAAATTAAACTTAATTACTGTATTTGTATTTTGCTGTGGTAGTGCGTCGTGACACATAGAAAGTTAATGATTCTGCCTTTTCAATTTGAAATGATGATCCTGTTATTTGTGTAGTCATTTCTTCTCCATTTTCTGTTTTCTATACTATAATTACTTACTTTTTGTTCCTACCTGCGCATGTTAAATTAATGTAGGTTTTAGTTATTACTATATGATTTTCCGTATATATACTCATATCGTATATTTAATCAAATGTATATAATATATTGCATGTTCATATAGTTACAATAATATACGAACATTATATGATTTGTAGATTGTACATATGTTTGCATTTTGTGCTAAAAATAACTTAAAACAAATATGTCAATTTTAATGATATAAATAACCTAACGTTTTATTTATAATTATGCTTTGCTTGACTTTATTTTTGTTAATAATTTTAAAAGGGAATTTAATTTTGATTGACATATATAACGAGCTTTCTTTTATCACCTTTATTCTTTGTAAGAACTAAGTATTAACCTAAAAAAAATAATCTTGATGTACATATCTCATTATAGGTGAAAGAAGTAATAAAACAGATCCAACGGTGATGGTTACATCTCTTATCTGTCGACAATGCACGTGTACCCATGCACGTGCTACTCTTTAGGGTTAATCCAACAATATACGACAAAAAGACAAGGCCTAATGTATATTAAGGTTAAGAGAGTAATCATCCGATAAACAGTGAGATCAAACAGTGAGATGTTGAAAATTTCTTAATGAAGTACTTTACTGAAATCAAACTCGGTAGAACATATATATAACTCTTACACTTATTTCCCCTATACCTATTTATATATCTATCACTTGACATTTTGGTTCAATATATGAAGTTCTGGTGACTTTATTGAATGATATATATAGAGTACATTTTCATACCTTTTACATAAAAAAATCTTCTTTTTTATCTTTTTCTTTGAGAAAGTGATTACAAATAACAAAGCGTAATTTTCTTTTGGGGGAAAAGATATATACATGTGTGTGTGTTTAAAGCAATATATATATATTTTCTGAAAAACATGACAATATATTGGTTTGGGACATCACTTTGCGAAATTCATTTCCATCTCATGCGACTATGCTATAAATAACTATCTTCTAAATATCATCAAACCAAAATTCTATCATACTACATTATCAATACATATACTTTTCTAATATATACGGTTAGAAGAATTTTCAATCAATGTTTATTTTGTACAAATATCAATTATTTTGAGGTATTTGCCTTGTTAGGAGGTCAATATTTCAACTGTAGCTATTGCATAAGATTTATTCACATCAATCCTAGGATAAATTTTTTAACTAAATCTGTATAACTTATCTATGCCCTAAGCTTAGAAGTGAAATTATCAGTGTTTTAATTAAAATCAATAAAGGTAATGTCGAAAGAACTAAAAGAATAAAGGTGAGACATAGAACTGACAAAAGGCAGGTAAGTTTTGGGAACTCGACTGCTTGTGGGATGACTTAATTAACAATTCTTTTGAGTACCACTTAAGTTTTAATCATAATGTAATGATGTTTTTAAGAGTCTCCTTTCTTATGTTAGTAACTAGTAGACCTTTTTTATTGTTAATTTTTGGATTTTTCTTCTTGAACTTTGGTGGCACCAGAATATTCTCCTACAATTTTCGAGACTTTGTAATATATAGTATTGTCCACTTCGATATATAATAAAGATTCATAGACATAATATATCCAAAAATATAAACATGCACGCATACATATATGGTTCCTATATAGATTAACACCGTTGAAACAATGATAATTCGAATTTGAACTATATGTATACAGACATACACACACGATAATTGAATTTGAAAAAAATAATCAGATGTTATATGTCAAAACTAACTTGTGTTTGTATATTTATAGATTTGTTAAATAAAAATATTTAGAAAATAGCATAAAATTGCAAAGTAAGACAGATGTGGATCTAGAGGGTACATTACAGATATACCACATGCTTTTGGTTCATAAGAAAGTTGAAGAATATATGCTTTTTTGCAGATGCATTATTAGGTTAAAATGCAAACATCCCTTTGTGATTTTGCCTCGTTCGTTGGGAGATACAAAAATAATAGAGTTCCAAACTTCCAATAATATATAAATAAAATATGAAAGCATATATAGCCACACTGTATATATACAAACCTGCCAATGTGTACCCCAAATATACAAGTATATACGATCAGAGTTCAAATTGGAGTTTAAGGCTAAAGGTTCGTACGTATAATTTTATGTATTGTGTATACATGTTATACAAAGTATATAGATGAGTATAAAGTTGTATAACATGGGAGAGGGTGCGATCGATAAACGACATTTCAAAGAAGACAAAGGATAGATTCATGGCATTCAAATAAATAAGATACGATTAGAGTTAAAGTATACATATGTCACTTAGTGAATGATAATGGTCTTATTGTTTTTACTCCCATTTTGACCAATCCGATACATAAGGTCAATCACTATATAGACAATTATTACAAGACAAAGAATCATTTTTGTTTTTGTTTTTTGCCTTTTCTATTACCAACGTCATATTTTTTGTTCATTATATAGTATATATATACATATGATTAGACACTAAGCTATAAAGCATACTAAAAATTCGATAAGTAGATCAATGATTAAGGGTGATGATATGACTATATGTGGCTTTATACTTACTAAGCGGGTATTTTGGACTACCAAATATATATAAAGTAATTTTAATGGACAGTGAAATATTTGTTGAACAAGAATTCGTGATGAATTTATGTGTGTATATAATATGTAAATATATTGTGTAAACTGAAATACAGTATGTTAAGTTTTTTAACCAAAACATTTTAACAACCACAAATCTGAAAGTCACATGGTTTTTTCTTTCTTGCAAATTAGTAACTCATTTGGTCCCTAATCAAGCAAATAACATAGACATCAGTCACAGCCAAATATATAGTTATATTTTCTTATATAAAAAATGAAATAATTGTATCTATATTTTTAACAAGTAGAGGTTCTATATATATGTAAGCTGTTAACTTTTCCATGCAACTTCGTGTGAACATTTTGAAATGGGACCTTAAGTAAGATTCTCTTACATGGCTCATAAAAGTAACTAAAGGATAAAGTCACACTCTCCAACCTTTTCACAAAGTTGATAGAGACTCGGACTATCCCTTAATTAAGTGCTAATTTTTTTTTTGAACTTTAATTAAGTGCTAATTGAGAAATAGAGTTGTCTATCTCTAAACATAAAACTAATAAGGGGTTTTTTTTTGTTTTTTGAAAAAAATAATTAAGGGGTTGTTCACCTTCAAACAATTAACTAAAACTAATTAAAGGTTTTGTTTTTAATATATATGTATATATGCTTAGAATAATTTATACTGTTTTAAAACCTCCAATTCTAGTTGTCTATAGATTTCTTAAACAAAGTTCTCACAGTAGATAGTGATGATAACTGATTTTATTTTATTGGAAATTCTCTTATCATTGAGTGATATATTAAAAAAAAAGTTGACATATTTATTTTGTTTGGACACAAAAATGACGTATTTATAAATATACATTTGTGTATATGGAATAACAAAACTAGAAAAGACAAGTTATAAAATATCAGAACTTGTCACAACGGTCAAACTTTGGCCCACTTTGATCCATTAATAAGTTTTTCCTTTTTGGCATCCACCTTGATCCATAGTTGATGACTCGTAAAAGCATAATTATATCTCCAAATCATAAAATGTTAAGGTTAAATTACTTGAAAGTGTTTCTAGCAAATAGACATATATCAGGCAAAAACTATTTTGGTTTTGAATTCTATCCTTATCAAATATCTTATAGGACTATTCTCTCAATGATAGACGTATACACAATTACTACTTTGTTAAAAAGGTTTTCCTAAAATTGATTTTTTAATAATACATCACCAATTTTTGGTAAATTTTGGAATATGTTAGACTAGTTGAGCATCTCTACGAAGAAAATTAGAAATTCGGATTTTGGGCTCTATATTGAATATGTACTTTTAGGTACACCTAATGGGCTCTATGGCCCAATTTAGACTGTAACGAAACGATGTCGTATATAAAGAATC